TAAATGTTATATCCACCCCAATCTACATCCGTATATGATATCAAAGATGAAACTGAAGAAGGATAAAGATTGAGTCCATGATGAAGTGTTCCCTGAATATAGCGCAGGATGCGCCTGAGAGCCTGCATATGTTCATCCATTGGATTATGCATAAATAGGCAGATTTTTTATACCGCATAAGAAATGTCTGGTCTCGTGAAAGTGAGATATTGGAGAGCTCCTGCTAGACTGCGGTAGTGGGATGGATCCTCATACGGAGTGCTTTTTTTAGCACTAAGTTTCGGTTTAGTATCAACCGGAGTAGGGCAAGATTTACAAGATGACATGCCTGCACGCTCAATTCTTTCTTTTGCATACTTTTTCTGAGACAAAAATAGACCACCTGCATGACGAGTTACTGCTATACCCAAGAAGTAACTCAGTGGACCCTAATCTTTCATAGCAAATTCTGAGCTGAGAAGTGTCATGATAGACTTGCGAAGGGTGTCAGAAGAAGCAGTGAGGATGATATCATCCACATAGAGAAGAATGTAAGCTAATGTCGTACCATTCCGGTAGATGAAAAGAGAGTTGTCGGACTGACTTTGAGAGAACCTAATAGAAGAAACATAGCCGACAAATCGTTTGTACCAGGCTCGAGGAGCTTGCTTGAGCATGTATAGTGATTTCCGCAGAAGACATACATGATTAGGACGATCTAGGTCCTTAAAACCCAATGGTTGATGCATGTACACTGTTTCTTTCAGTTCACCATGTAAGAAGGCATTCTTTACATCCAACTGATGAATTGGCCAAGATTTAGAGAGAGCAAGACTTAGCACAGTTCGTATGGTTTCCGGTTTGACTACCGGGCTAAAAGTCTCTCCACAGTCCACGCCAACTTGTTGACTTGCACCATCACCTACAAGTCGGGCTTTATGCCTCTCAAAAGAACCGTCATCTTTTTTCTTATGTCTGAACATCCACATAGACCGAATAACATTAACATCAGGAGGACGGGGCACTCAATCCCACGTCTTATTTTTAATTAGAGCATTAAATTAATTATCCATAGCCATTTTCCAATTCGGGTCTTTAAGTGCAGACACGGGGTTACGAGGGATAGGATATATTGTGACATGAGTAAGTAAGCCATGTTGGTCTTTTTTATTTGGTTTAAAAAGACCGTGTTGGCTTCTCGTAACGGGTTTGGTTTCTGAACTCAAAGTGGGCTGGACAACAGGCGAGCCGGGCTGTGGGACCTGACCAGGTCTGTTCACAAGCTGGGCCGGTGAAGGAGGAAGATAATTTTGGGCCTGAGGTTGTGAAGTTGGTGGATTTTGGATTTGATTTTTCACGTAAGGTGATAACCCATCTTAAAGAAAATCATATGATGAAGAAGTAGGAGTATGCAGCTTTGCAAATGGGAACTCATTTTCCACAAAATATACGTGATGACAAATGAAAATTTTCTTAGATGAGAAAGAATAAAATTTGTAACCACGATGATTTGAGGGATATCCAAAAAAGACACAAGGTGTGGAACGATCTTGAAGCTTATTTATCGTAGTAGATGGAAATAGAGGATAACATAAGCAACCAAAAAATCGTAAGTGAGAGTAGGGGGGTTGGTATATGATTTGAAGTGGCGATTGCAAATTAAGAGTCTTGCTTGGTAATTTACATTTTCTATGATCATCTTTATTTCAGGTATTCGAGGAATCTAGTCCTTGCTTGGATTTCCTAAATAGTGTCAGTCAAAAGTAAGTTCTTTGAAACGAACGTACACTCGTTGAATAGAGGAAACCGCAGGGTTCGAAGTCTCGTCCACGCCGGACTGCTCTAAGGCCTAATCAGGGATCAAGTCCATTCTCTCTGTACCGATAATAGCGTAAGCTTTTAGCCGGGAATTAGGCGGTTAGCTGGACCGAAATCACTTAAACTAGGGGGGCTTTTTTTTTTTTGTTTGCCCCTTGACTCTTTCTATTGAAAGACTCGAGAGTCGTTGGGTTCAGTCAGGGGAAAGCTTTCATAATCACTCTTAGTCTTAGCGGCAGAACTTCACTCGTTGGTTCAACAAAAAGAGTACTTTTTTCGTAAATAAGGAAAGGAGTAGTTCTTCGTGTCGTGGTGGAAGCCATTCAATCGTCATCTGATAGAGGCTCTGCGCCTTTGAACAAGATAAGGGGAAAGAGAAAAGAGCTTTGCCAAAATCCCCCGTCCGCGGACTCATTCGAGGCGGAGTCACTCGCTAAATAAAGAGAGAATTGTTGTCAACGTCCGCACCTAAATCTGTTAATCCAGAAAGACCAAGGCTAGAAGCTACTGCTCCCTTTGAACATCAGTATGAAAATGACACAATGGATGAGTTCTTCCATAGGGTAGGATAAAGTGAAAAAGAAAGGTATTTGAACCAGGGCGGGCTGAGGAGGCCCTATGTAGTATTTCTTTTCATGGGTGGTGGGGAGGTTTAAGGGGAATATAGGTTTGCATCAAGGTATATTGTTTTCCAAAATGTTGATGGCTTGGAGTTCCATATCTCTGAAGAGAAGGAGGCGGGCGCAAAAGCCTCTTCTAGATCTTGATCCGAAAGTGACGATGCAACAAAGGCTTACTCCACAGATTCGCCATCAGCATATTTATATCCATATCCATAAGTACTTTAAAAGTCTGCAATCGGTAACTTTATTAAGATGACACTCCTTTCATAAGAACTCCCTTCTGATATTATACGGAGGCATTAGTTAACCCGGCGTATTCGTAGCGATAAGGCTACTAAGGTTCACCCCTGATTTTGTTTCTGTTACGAAAAATATGTCCTCATCCTCGGCCAGAGGTACCTCTGCGATCCATAGCCCAAAAAAGTGAAAGACTATCAGTGTAAAGACTCTCAGCTAGCCTCTCTCTTTTCAAGTCAGAAAAGTTGTACCTTGACTATACCTATAAGACCTATGCAAGCCGGGCAACCTAGTCCCATAAACATGAACTAGACTAGCTCTCACAAGCTCACTCGCGTACGCACCTACGGCAAGGGTGCTGCTATGATATTTTAAGATAGTTGTGGAGGAGCGGCTGTGAAATGGCGATTCCCCTTTCCATTGAAACTTCATTTCATTCCGCTTTCTATGCTTTATACTCGTTAATCGTAGTCAACTCCTTTCCTTTTTTCGCTTGAACCGTGAACTGAACTTCCGCTGGCATTATCGGACAGGATTGAAGAATACCGATACGAGACGAACTTTCTTCTATTTTTTTTCGTGGCGGGAACCTTAAAAAGACTAAGAAACTGGTTTTCAAACTTGCAACCAACAGGACTACGGCTAGGCCAAGGAACCTAACCCTATAGTCTAGCTGACTGGCTTGCATGCCTAGAGCTTCAAGGATGAAGACTATCTTGAAAAGGGAAAGGACTCACTCACTTGCTTTAGGTTTTTTCTTTATACTCTTCTTATTACAAGCTGGCTTCGCTTCCTCTCTAAACTATCCTGTCTCATAAACTCTTCAAGAACAGGCCAACTCCTGGCTAGAAAAGGAAGTCAAGTAAAATGAAATATCTCCTCAACAACCAAGCCGGTCGGCTGACCTTCTAGAGAACAGTAATAAGTATATGATATGAGGTCAAGTCAAAATACCAGGACATACCTTCAAGGTACAACACTTCCTGCTTCAAGACTGGCTTGAGGAAAGGCCCTAGCTAACATCACTTCAATGAAGATTCGCCGCCTAACTAAAGCCCTTCTTCCTAGCCTTTTGCAAGGTATCCCTCTGAGTGGGCAAAGAAGTTTCATCTTCTGGCTTTACATAACCTTTCTCAACTATCTCCCAAGCATCTTGTGATCCTAGCAAGGCTCTAATTGCCCAATTCTCACAATTCTCTTTTGTAAGTCTAGGAAATTGAAACGGAACCAAACCATTCGCCATTCCGTATTCACCAGGAACTTTGACTCCAGATGGACGCCGAGTACGCTTTCGCGATAGGTATTGGTGGAGCTTGCGTAATGTAGTAGTAGTTAAGGCGACATTGAAGTCTTTCTTTTCTTTTTTGGAGGGGGCGGAATATTGAACTAAGGTAAGGCGGGCATGAATTAACATTTTTTTTTACTCTATGAAAATCCTACGCCCAGTGATTTCTCTTTTATCTTCGATGATAGTCTGTCTTTTTCGTCAAGTACCTCTTCAACTAGGTCGGACACGCAAAGCGCTCCACCTGAGTTATAAGAGGTATTAAATAATGAATAATATAATATAATATAATGTATGTTCTAAATTAGAGGATTTGATAGTGATTTCTGGAAGGCAATTACCCCCAGAATTGACCGTGAATGACCTTGTAATCGCGGTTACTGAGAGCCCAAAGGAGGCTCCAGTACTGAGCCAATATGATTGCTTGGACCTCCTGATCAACGGCGACAAGGCCTTGATCCGCAACCAGGTCTATCGTTATATTTATTCCCCGGGCGGCCTTATCTGTTAACTCTGCCTATCTATTTTTGAATCATGGAATTTTCTTCCAGAGCTGCGGAACTAACGACTCTATTAGAAAGTAGAATTACCAACTTTTACACGAATTTTCAAGTGGATGAGATCGGTCGAGTGGTTTCAGTTGGAGATGGGATTGCACGTGTTTATGGATTGAACGAGATTCAAGCCGGGGAAATGGTGGAATTTGCCAGAGGTGTGAAAGGAATAGCCTTAAATCTTGAGAATAATGAGAATGTAGGGATTGTTGTCTTTGGTAGTGATACCGCTATTAAAGAGGGAATAAACTAGTTACTTACTATCATATGAGCCGAAAGGAATGGTACTTACTACGGAGTACTTAATTAGTCCACTTCATAAACTCGCAATTTTACAACTTTATTCAAACAAGAGTAGTTTAGTAGGATATGCTTCATCAAACAACATATGAAACAAAGATCATTACATCACTTGTCCTATTTTACATGGACAAGCATATTCCAAAACACACAAACGTTTTATTATAAAATCAGTCTCAACTCCAATTTTTTTTAATTAGAGGCTCATTGAAATCTGCGTGACTGAAGGTTCCTTACGATTACAGGACTAAGTTGGAAGGCCCTGCTTAGAACATCAACTGGGATGGGTGGACTAGCCCCGAATGTAGCTGCAGCGGTTGTGACGACACCCAGGTTTTGGCTGCTGAACGGAGACAGGGCAACAGCAGGAGTACGCCCAATATTGGTTTCAAAATGTATGAGGCCTTGAGGAAATATAAAAACATCTCCTTTATAAAGTATCTTGGAGAATAACTTGTTATTACCATTTGGTTGGTTGGAAGTTACGAAACCAGCATAGAAGGTTCCTTCAAGCACTGTAAGGACCTCAGTGGCGCGAGGATGATGGTGGGGAGTGTTAACACCATAAGGTGCGACATCAATCCTAGCCAGTGATATACCAAGGGTGTTTAGACCTGGAAGGTTCTCCGCGGTAACTCGTGTGACATTGGAGCCTACTTGGTTGTCTGTGTTTCCTGGTATATTTAGCCCTTGAAAGAGGAAGTCGTCCACTGTCACCTCCATTGGATTCTTACAAAACAGTCCGTTCACAAATACTGTAATAATTAAGAAAATTATACCCCAAAACGAAGTAAGGATCAAATAATAATCTCTCTAAAATAATGAAAATCATGTATTTACGTTAAAATTTAGTTCTAATGTACAAAAATATCAAAACAGTTTAAAGCCATCCATAAACTAACAATTCAAAATGAAAACCCAATACACTAGATTTATTTATGTTATTGTTCTTGTAACATTATTCCCCTTTTTAGTTCTCAACAATAGACATGTTTTTATTTGCCAAGTAAATTTAATATCATTGATTATATAATAGTAAAAGCCTTACAAAATCTGATATAATAATTTCCGTATTGTTCCAATTTTATCAGATATCTTTGAAGTAGGGGAGAGCATGGGACGGGTACCCGTTCCGATAACGTTATTGGTTCGGGTACCCGATAACCGTTAAGGCTAAAACCGATTCCCGGAACCGTTCCGATAAGGTTCGGGTACCCGTAAATTCGGATAGCCGAAAATACGGGTACCCGAACCAAATATTCGAACCGAACCAATAAGCTGATTTTTTTTTTTTTGGGTCTTTTTATTTATTTAAAACCTGCTTTGCAATTCGTTTTTAGATGCTTTTTAGTTTTTACTAGTTTTTTTTTTACTTCCTATTTTTTGAACTATAACAATTGAACTTAAATACACAAATAACAAAAATAATTACAACTATCGCTGTCTTCCGCTTTGGCAACCTACCAGTCCCTGTCCTTGAGGCTGCTGCCTCCTCACCTCTCCTACTTGGCTGCCTGAACTCCTCCTTGTACCCACCTGCTTAATAATATTTTTGTCCAAACTTCCACCTGTTTTTCTAGTATTAATTATTGTTATTAGTACTATGATTTTTTTTGTAACAAATAACAGCCTAATAGGCTGATATTTAAACCTGAATACACATATAACACAGCACTCAACCCGATTACAAATGAACAAATACTTGATACAAACATATTGTTTCTTTAAAAAAAAAAGTCCATAGTTAACAATAATAAACCAATACATAACAAAAAAAAAGTCCATAGTTTATAGTTTTAAAACAAAAACAGTCCATAGTAATCATATTTCATAAAATACTCCAAGCCTTCAATGACTTCCGGCCTTCAATACAATCACCACCAACCTTCATGATTATAAGTTGTTGCCTCTAATCAATTAATCATCATCAACAAAGAGAGAGTGTTCCTCACCAAGAGGTAACATTTCTTCAAAAAAAATTAAAAAAAAGTTAATGAATAATTAACAAGATAATGAGATTAAAAAAAAGAGAGAAAATATTTAAATGTTACCTGATTCAATTTTTTCCATATCTTCAAGTCTCTCCTCAAGTATAAGAGGACCTTGAGATGTACGTAACCAATCTTGTGCACAAATCAAGGCTTCAACCATCTTAGTTGAGAGTGAGCTACGAAATGAATCAAGCACTCGACCACCGGTGCTAAAAGCTGATTCGGAAGCGACTGTTGATACGGGAATGGCAAGTACATCTCTAGCCATGAGAGCTATTGTTGGATACCTTTCACCATATTTTTTCCACCACCCCAAACAATCAAAGCTTTTTCCGGCGGGATTAACTTCTCTATCATCTTCTAAATACTTGGCCAACTCATTTTTCCCTTGTACTCCAACACATGAACCCACATGCCTTTCAAACTCTAATTCCGCAACATCTACATCAGAATCCATATCTTCTACTTCATACGAAAAATCAAAGTTCTACCCGATGATCTTACATACCTAACAGCACAACGAATTCTTTTTATTGACACATCACTTTCTTTCAATCCTTCTTTAACGGTTAAACTTAATATGTGAGCACAACATCTCATGTGTAAAAACCGACCACCCAAAACTAATGTCTTCCAATTTTCAAACCTTCTTTTCAAATATTGAATGCCAACATCATTTGAACTTGCATTATCTACAGTGACAGTCATTACTCTAGAAATACCCCATTCAAGTAGACACTTTTGGACAGATTTACCAATTGTTTCACCAGAATGACCAGCAATTATACAAAAGTTAATTATTTTTTATGCAATTTCCAATTTTGGTCAATAAAGTGAGCGGTTAAACACATGTAATTCATATTTTGGCAAGAAGTCCAAGTATCAGTGATGAGACTTATACGTGAAGTGCACTTACTAAAAAAACTTTTCAAACTTTTTTTCTCATCCAAATAAATCCTAAAACAATCTCTAGTCACTGTCCATCGAGAAGGAATAATGAAAAAGGGTTGTGTTACCTTCATAAAGTTGCAAAAACCTTCATGCTCCACCATTCTAAAAGACATTTCATCCATGATCACCATCTTTGCCAGAGCTCTCCTACTATCTTCTTGATTGAATTTCCACAGCTCAAGTCTACCTTTTTTTTTATCCACGAGATTCCCATCAAGAGTTTGTTGACTAAGGGACAATAGTTGTTGATTTTGATCAATGTTTGGGGGGTATTCCTTACACCGCTTTATGTGGTTCTTCATGCCGGAGGTACCTTGAAGTGATGCACAACCAATGAATGTATGACAATAGATACATTCAGCCTTGTTTTCTCCATCCTTCTTTATAAAATGCTCCCAATGAGGAGAGCGCCTTTTTCTAGATTTATTTGAAGTTTCACTTAAGGGGGCAGCAGCATCAGCAGGTTCAGAAGGTTGGTTTGATTGATTTTGCTGGTCAAAGGGGTCATTATTTTCCGTCATTGGACAAGGGTCATACTCCCAAGGCTCGGGAGGAGGACTTGGAATTGGAGGAGCTTGACTTGTAGCCGATGAGTCTTCCATATCCCCACTACTTCCAGATTCCATACACTCCTACAAATGAAAAAAAAAACAAATAAGTTCAATCATGTATACACAAATAACAAGAATGAGTCATAGCTATATGAGGGTTGAAAGGGTGAACATCCAGGACATATGTCTGTTAGAAACAAACAGGACAAAAACTTTTCCACGTCACACAAATACACAATCATAAAATCTCAGACAAGCAAGTGAAATAAAAAAAAACTATTGGTACAACTACACCATATAATCACTTTGTGAGCCTTGCAGTACCTTAGGCAAGTATTACTAAAAATGAGTCCAAAAGATGATGTACACAGCCACACAAGTTACTGTTAAACCAAATTCCAGCTGACGAATATTACTCAATTCTGTTAAACCATACATTGACAGATTAACCTGAGTAGAAGCAACTAGATAAATCATATTGGACTACATGATTATCATATTGGACTACAATAAATCTTAAAACATTTTCTTAAAATGCTTGTAATTAACTCATGTTACAATAAATCATATTGGACTACATGATTATCATGTACAACTCTATAGATGCTCAACACACAGGAAGCCATCACACAACACTATAGATGCTCAACAACATTAGTACACAGCAACTATAGATGCTTAGCAACATCACACAACAACATCACTCTAAATCCTTGTTTTTTCTCAACAACCTTATTTCCACATCAAAAACAGAAATCTCACCTTATTCACTCATCTAAATCTAACAGACACAACTTGACAAAAAATAATAAAAAAAAACCTCAATTCTGAAAACCATAATAAGTACCATTCCTCCCAAAAAAACAAAAAAAAAATTAATAGTACCACAATAAAAAATCAGGAAAAAAAAACAATTACAAATCCGAAAAAACCACAGATAGTCAGATACTATAAAATGTAAATTACCTCAACAGTGAAAGCTCAAAAGCCGCTTCAATGGAGAGCCGAAGTACGCTTCAATGGAGGAGATGAAGGAGTGAAAGCTCAGAGCCGCTTCAATGTAGGAGATGAAGGAGTGAAAGCTCAGAGCCGCTTCAATGGAGAAGTCGAAGTACGCTTCAATGGAGGAGATGAAGGAGTATAGGCGTATAGCTCAGAAGCCGCTTCAATGGAGAAGTCGAAGTACGCAGAGCCCTAAATTGAATCTGCGATCTGTGAAATTAAAACAAGAGTTTAAGTTTAATTGAATTTAATCAATTCATTGCAAATAATTAGATCTGGCAAAGGGATAATTAGTTAATTACCTGAGGACATTAGGAGATGAAGGAGTGAAAGCTCAGAGCCGCTTCAATGGAGGAGATGAAGGAGTGAAAGCTCAGAGCCGCTTCAATGGAGGAGATGAAGGAGTGAAAGAACAGAGCCGCTTCAATGGAGGAGATGAAGGAGTGAATGGAGAATGGAGATTAGAGAACCAGAGGCAGAGACATTAGAGAAGAGGAGGAGAGAGAGGGGGATGGAGGCTGAGTGAAGTGAATGACTGAGAAATGAGAAAAGAACGAAGTTTAGGGTTTTCACTTTTTTGTTCTTTATTTTCTGTTTCTTTTTTTCTAAAAAAAACTGACATTTTTCATTTGAGATTTCGAAAAAAAAATATTTTCGGGACATTCGGGTACCCGAAACAGTGTTAACGGGTACCCGTTACCCGAACCGTTAAATTCTTATCGGTTCGGTTACCCGCCCTGTTTTCTTTAAACGGTTCGGGTACCCAATTTTTCGGTTCGGTTACGGTTCGGTTTTTTCGGATAGTTTTGCACAACCCTACTTTGAAGAGACAAATATGTTATAATAATTTTACAATAATTAAATTAGACATACAATATGATAGATATGAAATTAATGTTGTTATTACATACATATACTAATATTTTTAAAATTGTGTAAATAAAGAAAATGAAAGAAAAGAGGATTATTATACTTTTTCGATCTTCTATTTTTCAAATATTGCACCATGGGAAGGCTTATAGATCTATCACAGCTCAGCTTTCAACCTTAAAAATTTAAAATTGATCAATCTAACAACATTTCATAAGACCTTTTTTATTTCGTCTAAATTAAAATACATATGTGGTTGAATAAGAGAGTGTCTAAGAATAAAAAATGCAAGAAATGCAATATTTAAGGAACAAAAGAGCATGAAAGTATTATGATTAGTATTAATTAGGTGACATATATGCGTGTTAAAATTAAACTTAGAGTTATTGTTGAATATAATGAAAGTAATTTAAAATAAGAGATAGAACATTACATCCATCAATAGGATTATTTACCCCAACGCAGAAATCTTGGAGCTGATTAGGATCAGTTGCATAAGCAACATAAGAAGCAACAACTAGAACACTGATATAAGAGATAATAATATTAGTATTAGGTGACATTTTTTTGTGTTGAAGAGTTTAAGGTTTGAACAGCTTTTTTTTAAGGTTAGAGTAGTTTAATTAAGATGATACATTCTATCCTTTTATAGTGGAAAAAATTCAATGTTCAAGATTGGTAGTTGGGTGTGGAATTATTCACTTTCATATATTTTAGTGCATAATTAAATGTATTGGAATAAACACGATGTGTTTTATTATAAAATAAGTGGTTAATCACTTAGTTGAGTTACCACCTTCTTTTGGTACCTGTAGTAATTCTCTTTGGAGACATCTGATAAAATTGGTACCTGTAGTTTTCTTTTCTTGTATGAGTATTGTTTCATTAATTCTGATGGGCCTTCTTAAATACAGAAATAGAAGGTGTTAAGTTTTTTTTTTCCATATTGATTTTGACATGCTCGTTGACATTCACATATATACACGAAGTAAAATTAAGTAGTACTTCATCTAGCAGTAAGAATTATTATCTCGCAACTATGAGGTTATGGGATTAATCTTAACTCTCATTAGAGGTAACTTGGGGAAAGAAATTATCTTATTCTTCTATTCCCTTCCACTCTTAGGGGTTTTGCTCGTGTGCTCAGATCAGGTTGACTTATGAGAGGTTGCAATTTATTTAGTATTCCAATTTTTATTTTTTATTGCAGCACTTCAAGCCTATAATTGATCTATTAATTTTTTTAATTGCAACCAACATTTTTATCAAACTTCAGCACAAGCTGATGACTAAAAAACCACCAAGATTAACCCCGATACTTAGGTGTCAATACTGGATCGCCGACAAAAGTTGCACCAACTGCAACAAAGTTACCTTCCTTCCCCCTTTTCTCTTCCCACTTATCTTGATGTTCGGAGGGCTTAAAGCTGATAATGCAAACTGATCACGAGCACAATTCCTCGACAACTTACCAGCTAAAATGGTTGACGTATACACAAGTCTTCTAATTTCAAGAACGAAGAATGGAAGTAAAAAGAATAAGGAGCCAAAAATCAAGGTGGGAAACAGGAACAGAGCTGATGATAACCAATGTGCATCACATAGACCTAGAAATTACTTAAATGACTTAGATACTAAAAGCTCCTTATACTTAATAGTCTTCTACTTTTATCTCCTTAAAAGAAAAATAGCAATAAGGATTATAGCCAAACCCATATTCCATATCACACATTACAAATTCAGATGATGAAACCCCAAGAAACGGAGAGGAGCAAAAGTTTAAACTTCACTGATACTTCAATGAGTCAGAAATTCACAATATCTGCATGATCTTCACTTCAATTATGTCACATTTGGCCTTTTTTCCAACAGGATAAACACATGTGCAGACATGAAATTACTGCACTATCGATTTCAATTTTCAAGCCTACGATATTAAAATCCAGACTACCACGATGATAGACTCCGGCAAGCAACATGATTGATAGGAAAGAAGGGCAAAAGATTAAGGGGACGTTTGGTTCATGGAATATAGGTATGAGGTATGGGCTTAGAATGACTAAAACCCATACCATATGTTTGGTTGTTAAAAGTATGAATTTCAAACCCATATTTCAAACCCATGAAGTATAGGGTTTAGAAACCTTTGGGGCAAGGTGGGTTTGGCTCATTCCATTCCTAAGGTATCAAATAAAAGGAGAGGCTAGTGAGATATTTCAAACCAAACACATGGTATTAAGTATCAAATTTCAACCCGTTACCACCTTAACCCATTCCTGATTCCAACCCCATACCACTCTGCAAACCAAACGTCCCCTAAAATACTTCTTGTTAGGCTGCCAATGGATGCTCATACGCACACTAGTACAATATTGACCGCTTTGGGCTCCTTTCCAAAAGGCCTTATACTAGTGTAGAGACATCTCATTAATAAGGAGCTCTTCTCCTCTTTATTTCTTCCGTGTGGGACTTGAGATATGCATATTCCCAACACTTCTTACAGGCAACATGCATGTAAAAGTCAAAAGCACAAATTGGCTAACGACCTGACGTAACACTCAATCTCACTAAAAGTGTATGTTAGACGATCTCACCAAAATACCTTACATACATTTAAAACAAATAGAAACACTACGCGATCATTTGGTTGACTACCAAAAAGAATATCTCACATGAAGTTCTACTTAGGTATTCAGTGGGAGAGAATTTGCAAGTTGAATACAACATTCTTAATACTTGCGAAATGTCTTAATTACATGTACATCCAGATCGCATACTCAAATTAAGATTCATTGCTTTACACACAATCAGATCTAGACTACATACTCAAATTAAGCTTCACATACCAATAAGATTTTTGGCATTGCTGGTTGATGGTTGATCACTGCACATTCAAAAAGAGAGAGTTGCCCAAGTTGGAGACATTATTCTCAAAATTTATAGTGGAAAATCCACAAGATACGATGGCAGTTCAAAATAACAAATAACAAGGGAACCAAAACAAGAGAGCAAAGGTAAACTAACACCACCATTATTGATTATTCACCTATGTTGTTTTAGCTTGTAAGACACCCCCCAAAGCCCCAACTGGCTCCATCTTTCCTAGATACTGTATGATTATAACAAGTTTATTATCATCATTCTTATAAACAGATATAATTTATGAGGTTATGAGTCTTATGACTCACAAGTTACAAAACAATACATGTCTAGCTCCATATCAGGATTCTGGTACCGTTACTTGTTACTTTAAAAAAAAAGTTTATAGTAGGATAGCAATACAAGTGACCACTTCTTTGGCACTAACATTCAAGTCTCAGACTCTTTGAATGGAATAATAACAATAACTCAAATGTCTAGACTATCATGGATCACCCCCAAGTGTCACCCTAGGAGGTAATTTTGTAAGAGCATAACTATCAATATAGCTTTAAGCCTTTAACGACTGAAAATAATTGAAATTAAACTTGATACAGTGTATATTTTACACAAAGCGAGATTAAGGATTTGCTAATTATTACTTCCTTGGTTTTTATTTCAGGTTATATAATTTTGACATTCATGTTAGCTAACGCACAACATTAACCATTATTTTAGTTATCTAGCCTGCTGTAAGGACTGTAACCAATACTAATGAAAGGCTGATTCTTTAGTTATCTAACCTATAACCAGGGAGGTTCATGCAATCAACAGCAGCAGATAAAATGTTACTGGTATTAAGCTTATTAGATGTCTACTGGAAAGCAACAAAAAAAGGCTAAACAATTCATCCTAAGCAAATTGTTGCCTGCATAAATGTCAAAGACCTCAAAGTAGCTAACAATTTTATGAATCAGATAATAAAGAGTTGTTGTGTAATAATATTATACCAGGTTTGGTCCATCTTGGTCCTCTTTACCAATTTGCACGCCGCCACTAATGCTAACAACACTTCCCCAAGACACAACCATCCCAGTATACTCTGGTATCCCCTGCATTCTAGCATCTCTGACTGTTTTCTCTTGTAAGTTAAACCAGTAAAATCTAGCAGTATCGTACCAGGGATCAGGTTGGTTCAATAAGATCTCTTGTCTTTCCTTACAGAAAGCAATGGGTGGAAGAAAACCGCAATAATAATATTTCTTATCATTCGTCACCCAGTCAGAAATACCCGATAACTCAACCCACGACTTGGCCACCCCGTACTCCTTCATGATCCATACATAATACGAACCAAGTCTAAGACTGACCTCATTTGTAAACATAAACAGACATAGACAATCATCCAATACCCTCAGTTTTAGAATACAATATTCATTGTACTTCTCAATTACACTATCCGGCAAAGGAACCACACTCCATTCCTCATTGCGAGCTTTGTCTGGCAACAACCGCGAAAACATGATCCAATGCAGCAAATGGTTGTGTACAAGTACACCAGAATTACACCTAGCTTGATCAACATAAAATTCATCACAATCATCAAACTTAAAATTAGTACAACATTTCCATGAATCATCGTTCAAGCTATAAACCATAGTTTTTACACCACTTGTTCTAGCAACTTTATAATCACAATTCAAAGAATCAAACCCTAACCCTAAACGATCAAAATATTCAAAACCCAGACCCACTATTCCAGGAATTATCTTGTAAAATTGTGTAAATGGATTAAGCAAAGCCGCCAAATTTGATCACTTTGTTGTTGAACTTATGGCGAACTTGTTTGGATTTTAACACTTGATTATTGAAACATAGGTCGAAAATTTGGGGGATTTGCAGCTGTATAGCAGGGGATTCTGGAGAATCGAGGTCGAAGGAGTAGAGATTGTTGCTGATGGTGGAGACGATGAGGATACGATTGGAGTTGGAGGAGAGAGAATTTGAGAGATGAAGATTTGTGAATGATGGAGTGTTGATTAGGGTTCTCCATGATTTGCAGACGCATTTGAATCGTAGCAGAGATTTCACTGGTAATCGAGATAGTATGTTGATTACTACGTCTGTTGGAAGAATTTCCATGAGATTGAAAGGCTAGGGTTTCAATTTCAATTTCTATTTCAATTTGGGGGAAAATGAGGGGACTAGGGGAGAGTTTATTTGTGGAGCTAGCCAGCTAGGCGTGTTAACGAGCCAAGCTTACTCGCAAACTGCTTGATACTCGGCTGTCAGAGACTCAAAGTTTGGCTAAACAAGCTCGACTTGAGTTCGGGTTTGATTCGAGATCTTAATAGGTCAACAAATTCTACTAAAGGAGATAGACTAACCCGCTAACGTGTGCGATGCACACTATAGTTAGTCATGTTTGGGGAGCTCTTTCTATTTAATCATATGTCACAAATTTAGTTGTTGACAGCAATAATAAAGGCAAATACGGAGTATGTAAACAAATGTATTTAGGGGTATACATGTTTGTACACTGTTCTTAGAAAAAAAATATCAATTGCGAGAAACATTAGTAGGGGTACATAAACATTTAAGTGAATATAATTGTCCAAACACAATTCATAAGAGTTATCTCATACTTCCTCTGTTTTTTCAGTTGACACGTTTTAACTTTAACACTATTCAGTCTTCATTTTGACCGTATTTTGTGATTAATACGTAATGAAAAATAAAATTATATGCGGTCTTATTAGATTCGTAGCGGGATATATTTTCAAAACATCGACTTTTTATAATTTTTGTTTTTCGATAATTAAAGATATTAACGATTGAAGTAGTGTATTGGCAAACGTGACTAAAGAAACGTGTCAACTAAAAAGAAACGGAGAAAGTACTTTATAAAATGTTGGGAAGCTAGTAGTAACATACTAGCATATTTGACGTTGTTCGGTAACTACCTTATTTGATCAACATTATCTTATTAGCTATTCAATAAGCTAATTAACTGTGTTTGATGGGAAGCTTTTTTAGCCCATTCCACCATAACACATATTGTATAAGCTCTTTTTCTCAAAGATCTTATAAAGCCTTTTACATTAGCTTATTCAATATCTTACGATGAAATAATTAATGACACTTATATCCTCTTTTAAATTAAAATCCAACAACAATTACCTACCCTTACAATTAATTTATTGGTCATTTCACATACTCAAAGTCTAAAACAACTTTAAACAATCAACTATTTACCAAACACTTTTATACAAGCTTGCTAATACAATAAGTTAGTCAAATCAATTAATACAACCAACTAACACAATCAGTTTTAGCTTTCAACTATTCACTAAACACGACCTATAATATAATTAAAAGAAGAGGGTTGGAAAGTCTTAACCTCCAAATAAATCTAGCATTATATTTACTTTTTTTTTTCCCTTTAACACTATTCACCACAATAATTTCTTTCTTTCTATTAACCTTCACTAGTTAGTAGTCCGAGCGTTGCCCCGAGTTGTTGCTCTTGTAATAGATATGTAATTTATAATTTTTTTTAAAAAGCTTTTCAACACTGTAATTGTCATGGTCAAACCAAAATCGAGTTTTAGCATTTTTTATTGAATTTTGTGGTTTGCACTTATATAATTTTTTTTTTTACATATTAATAACATACTTGATAATTAACTTAGATGATGAAATTCTAGACACAGGAAGATTTATTCGAGACAAAGTTGAAGAGACTTGGAGAGCATATAATCCTGAACTGCAGCTTATCACCCCTGGCATTTTTGGGAGGAAGGCAAGGCATGAAATTTTTGTGAGATGGATTGCTCCTCCATCCAACTGGACTGCTCTCAATACCGATGGAGTAGCAAAGGGAGCACCAGGGCTGGCAGGAGGTGGTGGCATTCTAAGGGACAATGCCGGCATGTTCATCAAAGCCTTTAATGCAAATTTTGGAAGATGCAATGCATTTAAAGCAGAATTGCTAGCTCTTGAATTGGGTCTTCGAATGGCTATTGAAAAGGGAATCACGAAGCTAGTTGTTCAAATGGATAATCAAGCTTGCATTGAAGCCATCAAAAGCACTGCACACCAAGGAGGCGAATGCGTCCACATCTTAAACAATTGTCGTAACTTAGTTAAATCCTTTTGTAATATTGTCTTTCTTCATTGCTTTAGGGAAGGTAATAAGGTGGCTGATAGATTGGCCAACTTAGGGGTAGTCCTCGAAGAAAGGGTAGTTTATTTCGACAGGCCTCCGATCGAAATAAACAACCTAATCCGGGAGGACATTGTTGGGGTAACATCACCTCGTTTTATTGCTTAGTTTTCTTTTCTTTTTGTATTCGGGATTTCCCTCATTTGCACCAAAAAAACAAATAAAAATAAATGATGAAATTCTTATCTTTATTATAAGAGGTTGAGAGTTCTATCCTCCTTATCCTTAAAAGAGATCACGAGGCACATCAACGTAAGGATAACTAACCAACTATACGCATCCTAGACTGAACGCATAAAAGTCGGAGAACTAACCTAGTAAACTAGCTATTCTAACCTCCTATCTCTCCATATAAACTTGGCGCTCGTTCTGATTGAAACTGAACTGAATTTAACTAAATTGAAATGAGCTGAAAAGAATATTTTATGAGAGAAGAAAATTGTAAATTGAATTGAACTGATTGAAGCTGAACCTGAACTGATTAAATTTAAACTGAACTAAAATAAACTGAAATTAATCTAAAGAAAAAGCTCTTATTACCTACAATACATTTTCAAATTACATTATCCGTCAAACTTGTAAACGAGAACTCGAGAAGCACCAAAGACCTCCCTCGTTGACTTCCTAATTAGTACGAGTATGAAGTTGTGGATCACAAGTCAAATGAAAATCTGAGAACTTTTTTAAACAGAAGAAAAGGCGGGAAAATGCAACAAAAATACATACTCTCAGTTTCTACTTCAATTTTCAGTTGCAATTGAGCTTCAAACTCAATTCAACAGAGAAAACCGAGATTTTCCCCAAAAACGATCCCCTAATTTTTTTGTTGAACAGAAAATTCGAACGCAAAATTAGGGTTAATTCAACATGAAAATGGAGAGGATTTACGTCACAGTTAGGGCAAGACCTCTTTCTCCAGAAGACGCGAAATCAAGCCCTTGGAAGTTGTCTGGCAACTCAATCTTTTACCCTAATTCTTCTTCTAAGTTCGAATTTGGTATCTTTCTCCTTCATTTTTCGAAATTAATTTCAAAAGTAATTTTTTTTTAGGGTTTTGATTGATTTGATAATTTTATGCAGATAGGATTTTCGGAGAAGACTGTAAGACTAAGGAGGTATATGAAGCTCGTACTAAAGATATTGTTTCAGCCGCTGTCGGCGGGTTCAACGGTATTTTATTCTCTCTCATTTTAGGGTTGCGTTTTGGGTATTGGGAAATTAGGGGATCACATGAAATTGGTATAATGGTCGAGGAATTGTATTGATCATAAGGTTGATTGAATTATCGAATGTTTGAGTGAAGCTGTAATGATAAAACTACTTAATTGTGTTGGAAGTGTGTGTGATTGCAGGTTTTTTTTGTTGACATGGTTAAAATGGGCTGAATTGATGATGCATTTTATTTATTTATTTTTTATAATTTTGTTGTTTTGTTTGGTGCTATAGGAAATGACAATAGTGTTTTTAGATGTGTTGATGGATGCGCCTATTGGGCGAAGGTGGAAATGGAACTTATTTAAGTAATCACTTTGGAAGGATGATAGTATTTAAACTACTAATAATTGCTTAAGCATACATATTTAAAGATTTGTTAGTTATTCCGTGGATGCGCATAAATGACTAGTAAGATTCCGTTGGAGTTTAAAACTGAATGATGAAATTGCATTGTTATTGTAAAGTGAGAAATAGCATGTTTAAGAAGGTTATATGGATAAATAGTATAAAGTTGAAGGTGTAGTGATTTGGTTTCTATGCTTTAGTTTCTAGTTTCACAATGATATTTGATATATGCAAATGACTGATGCCTTACACTGATTTTTAGGTACTGTGTTTGCTTACGGACAAACAAACAGTGGGAAAACACATACAATGCGTGGATCCCCTTGTGAACCAGGAGTCATTCCTCTAGCTGTTAGGGAATTATTTGATATAATTCAAGAGGTATATCCTTCATCGAAATAGCCTCGTTGCTAGAGGCTTTGGTTGGTGTTGTGTTCTTTTATATAATTGATCATAGATGCTTGCTGCCAAGTTGTCACATCAATACTTTTACTTGTTTACATATAAGTTCCTCTGCATGATTTTTCTTACAAATGTCAACATCTTCTGATCTTATGTCTTCTTTTTGTTAAAGGTTCCTGATCGGGAGTTTCTTTTGCGAATGTCCTATTTGGAGATTTATAACGAGGAGGTCAATGACTTGTTAGTTCCTGAACACAGAAGACTGCAAGTTCATGAAAGCCTTGAGGTACCTATAACTTATATTCTTACTAATCGAATAAGCTGATCAAAATTTGCACTATCCTTTGCTCACTTCTTTTATTGCAGCGGGGCATATATGTTGCTGGTTTGCGTGAAGAAATTGTTGCCTCACCTGAGCAAGTCCTTGAATTTATGGATTTTGGAGAATGTATGGCTTTTCTTAGATTCCTCCCCCTCCCTCTATTTCTGATTTTTGCAAATTTTAACTCAAGAATTATTGTCTGAAGTTCTGAACTGTAAGTCTGTAATTGTTGGGGCTAGGCTTAAAGTGGAATAAACCTACTTTGACTCTTGCCAATCACCTTCTGTTAATGTGTTATGCTGCTTTTGAGAACGATTTTTGAGCTACAGTAGAGTGTAGGAGTGTTATCTGTCTCTACATCTAAGTATATTATTTTGCAGCTCATCGGCACATTGGAGAAACTAATATGAACTTGCACAGTAGTAGGTCTCATACAATATTTCGCATGGTATTGCCTCTACTCTTTTATATTGCATTTTAAATTTGTGTAGCTGTTCCGTCTCACTAGTTCTTGTCACAGATAATTGAAAGCCGAGATAAAGCAGGAGATGAAGAGTCTGGGGATTCCTGTGATGCTGTCCGTGTCTCTGTTTTGGTATGGGGAATCCAAACTATTCTAAATCACAATCTGTTTCTCAATCCTCTTCTGTAAACTTTTGATTGAGCAACTTGTAACTATATAGCTACATAAAGACTACTGCCAAGTTTTCTTCTTACTTTCTTTTTCTACTGCTTGGTATGGATTCTAATTATATATCATGGTTCAATCCAGAACCTAGTTGATCTTGCTGGCTCAGAACGTGCTGCAAAAACTGGAGCAGAAGGTGTACGTTTGAAAGAAGGTTCTCATATCAATAAAAGCTTGATGACTCTTGGAACTGTTATAAAAAAGCTCAGTGAAGGTGCTGAGAGTCAA